GAATTTGTTACAGTAATCTTTTGTTAAAATTGTAGATATTTAACAAAAATTGTTTGTATAACAACAATTTTATAATCAAATAGCATTATATATCACTTTTTTTCAAATACATTTTTTTCTAATTATCTACTAACTTATGTTATTTACCAATTAAGTGGCAGGCAATATAAACTATGTACAAATAAGACAGCAATGTTATAATTCGCACTACATGGGCAGTACAAAATATTTGTCACTTTTTCTAGTTTTACCCGATTTTTCATCGAATTTTACTAAAAATTTTGTCAAATTCTTATGTATAGATTCAATGTTCATATGTTGTTAACTTTTTGAATATTTTTTATCTAGTTTTTGCTCAAGTTCATTAATCAAACGATAACTTTTTATGAAATAGGCACCCACAACCACAAAAAAATAACAATGCTGCATCGTTAGTATAGAAAATTTTTTTGTTAAATATTTGTTAAAAATGTACATAAAAAATTATTTTACGCTTAATAAATATCAATTTTTGTGCTTAATACCCCTAATGATCCCAAAAATTACTCTTTTTTTTGTTAGAACCTTCACGAAGTTCCAACATCAGCAACTAGGTACGTGCATCGTGATAACTTTGGTGCTACCTACATAATACGTACAGTAACGTACACATGCGAGGGGAATTACTTCTTATTGTCGAGTACAAGAAAAGTAAAATCATATCATAAAATTACTCTTTATAGCAAAATTCAGTTGAATCGCAAATTTGGACACTTTTTTAAATGTTGTACTATTGGGATGGTGAAAAATAATTTGGTCAAGTAATTTGGTAGCTTAACATTTACTTGTACTTTTATTTTTATTTTCATACACATTGTGTTAAAATAAGTTCGTCTCAATAACGCTTATGTAGATGGCTTTACGCTTTACTTATGTATAAACTTTTTTTAGTGTGAATCACAGCAATTAAACTCTTCAGCTTTTTTTACATGAACTAAACCGTCTCCTACATCAACGAGACTTAGGTCTAGCTCCATTTTTTGAAGGAACAAAAACTAAAATTTGGCATGCAAAGAAGCAGATGCAGAGTGAATTCTTTCTTGACTGGATTCAGAATATTGTTGAAATCAACAACTTTCAAGATATTGAGTCTGGTATAAGGTGCTAAAGTTGTTCATGCCTTATTAAATATAGGTTCTACAATTTTAATTTTGAGTGATAAAGTCAGCAGTGACATTGTCTTAGAAGATTGGCATAAAAGAGTGCATTTAAAAATAATAAGGAATAGGGGTGATGATGCAACTGCACTGCCTCATGAGAGAAAGATTTTGAATTAAGTCGTATTGCGGGTACATTATTTTTAAATAACGTTCTGATAGTCAAAAATTAACTATCAACTACTTCCAAAACGAATGCTAACTCCTTCAGTTTCTAGGATATGCGAAATAAACACAGGAATTGTTATTAAACCAGACAATTGTGAACCTGAGTAGCTAATAGGACAAGGTTTTTGAGGATTGATAATTATACGAAAATTTTTCAAGATAAAGAGGAAGTATACTTGTCAAAATGCCTGCTAGGTTACTCGACACATATGTTCTGGTAAGTTAAAAAATTCAGTAAGGTCAGACTATTATGGAGAAAAGTTAGTGAATTTATTCCTAAGAGTCGTAAGTATGCTGTTAAAAAATTCGATTCACTAGAGCAAAAATTAAACAGCAGTTTCATATGTGCACAAATAATTCAGTTGTGTTATCTTTCGTTTTTTGGGGTAAAAATTGTAAATAAATCCAGTCAAGTTCGTTTCGTTTTCAACCCGGCTGCAATATTAGAGGGGATTTCGTTTAACGGCTTATTACTTGCCAGTCCCATTTTTCTAAGACTTTTGTTAGGAGTTTTGATGCATTTTAAATGTTGAGGCATTTGTAGATGCTTTAAAAGCCGATCTAAAAGGCATGTTACAACAAAATTAAAGTAGGAAACGAGGATCAAAACTTGAAACATTTCTTGTAGTGCAAGAGTAGGGATTCGTATACAGTTATTGAATACATAATGACTTGTTAACAAAGAGTATCCCTCAGCTACAAAAAATTAATTCGAAATATACGGATGATTTCTAGGACAGTTGTAGAGCTTCTGAAAGAGTAATTGAAGTCGTTAAAATTAATGCACATGCTGATAAGGAAATTCATGGCTGGGCATCTAACGTCAATCTGACACTGGCAGGGTTCAAGTTAACGTAATTCCAGAAAATTTTGTAAAATTAGTTGATTTAAAAAAGGGTGGAAAAAAAACTAATGGGCTTAAAGTGATTTAATACTTCAGACGCATTTAATTTTAAAATCAATGATGATATACTTTATACTGAATTGCTTAACAGAAACAAAAAATCTACGAAGAGAGAATTTCTAAGTGTAATAATGGCAGCATTTGATACTCTGCGCTTTTGATTCCGTTAACCATTCAGTCAAAAATACTGATGAAAGCATTGTTAAGTGAGACATCAGTATGATGGAACTAGAATTTCTTCGTTGGAATCAATAGGTTTGTGAATTGCAACTAGCTAAATTTTGTAGGGTTCCAAGGTACTAAAAATTAAGTTACTACCAAACGAACAAAGCAAAATATTATATATTTTGTGATGCAATCCCTAGGACTTTTACAGTGGTTGTATATTGATGATTTTAGATCAAAAATAACTATTCTGTTTCGTTTCTACCCCACAACTAGAATTACAAAGGGATATTTTAGAGATTAAAATTACTAAAGTAATTAAAAATTTTGTCTTTATCTGTTTAATGAAAATTCGAAATAGTCTGAGTAGAAATGAATGCCATCTATTAATCAGCAGCATGTATAAGAGATAATGTTCTTTTTGTAACCTCCCCAAAACTTTTCGCTATCTTGGATTGAATCAACCTAAAAACTTTTTACTAGATGATAATATTGCCTTTGGCAAGCAGAATCTTTACATTTGTTTTGGCACGATACTTTTAAAAATATTCGCGAAATTTCATTTTTTGAAAAAAAAAAGAAGAAATTGTTTTTGTAAGATCATTCGTGTACAGCTCTTGAACATCATAAAGCACTTTTCCGGAGCTCTATTTTTAATTAATAGTTGTACTATCATGTACATTCATTTAAAATTTAAATTTTAAACTACATTTAAAACGTTACTGTATAGTATTTTGGGTTGTTTAGATGAATAACTGTAAACGTATTTTAACGTAACGTTTTTAAAATATAAGATCCACTGCTTGTAAGCTTGTTCCAATTTAAAAGAAATAACAGTTGTCATTTTCTAGATTTATTGGGATTTGTTTGATAATCTTATCTTAAACAATGGAGATTATATGTGTTTTTCTCTAATGCTTCGATTATTCGAAAAATATTTTAAAAATAACAATGTTCTGATGAATGTGATTTTGTAGTAAATAATAACACAGTAATACTGTATTTCATTAGCACTTTGTTTCTAGAAGTTTTCAAAACTGTAAAAATCTAATAAATTTAAACTTGAATTAGTAACTTTACTCCATAACCATCATGTACATCTTGGAGTATTAAAATTTTTTTTATAATTAAAAAAAATCGTATTTTTAATTCATAAAAAATGACTATGATAGAACAAGAAGAAAAAAAACAGTAATTGTTTTGTGTGACAAAATACTTATTGAAAAAAAATCATCATTCATTTAAATGTTTACTAAAGTTTATTTACTATTAACTATTTACTCAATTTAAACATTAAATCTGGTCATAATGAATTGTTTTTTTCTCATAACGACGTATTGACATGGAGGTAGTTTTGGTAATAAATCAGAATTAACGAAACATATGGGGCTTGTAGTTTTGACATGATATGCATAATAGTAATTTTTGATACTAATTGTTTAAACAAAATCGTTTACTTTTTCACAATACAGTATGCCAAAAGTAGCGCCACTACTGGTTATATCTACAACTACTATGAAAGCTTTGCAAAATATTCTTGGATGTATGATTTTTTTTACAAATTTATTCATTTATATGATTAAATAGCGCCCCCCCCCCCCTTTTTGGCTTCACCCGAGACTCACTGAATGAGACACGATAATGTAATGACATGTAATGTAAAACGTTATGAGTTAAAAATTTTACATCTATTTGTGACACTTCTTCAAAAAAAAATCTTCTTATTGAAAACATGTTTATTTGGAATCCATGCAATTAATGTTCTCCCCTTGATTAACAAACGATTTAGCTTTCTTTTTTTCCTTAGAAAAAAAGATTCTTGTTTTTATATCAAAGTTCTGAATGAATAACTCTCATTATGTTCGATCTAACTGTGATTCAAAAAAGTAAGTTGTCTGAGTTCACTCTATTATCTAAAAAATCTTACACCATCAAATTATAACTGCTTACTACAATGCAAATAAATACAAATAACCTACATCCTTTGTTCTGATAATTCATAGGCTGACTTAATTCTTTACTCAGCAGATTTTTGGTATTTAATTATTTCTTACATTTTCTAATGTAAGTAAGTAAAAATTAAGAATTACATTCTTTTTGTATACTTTCTTTTCTCACTTACAAACTAAAAGGTTTAAATAATATTTTAATCAGAAAAAAGAATTTCAAGTTTACGTATCATAGCAAAAAAGTATTACTAGGTTTATTTACCATGCATGTGAGAATAATACTTTAACTGTAATAGTAAGCTTGGATCAAAATAAAGTCCCGAAATTTCTTATACTGTTTCAGGAATATAATAATAGAGGTATATTGATTTTTTTAATATGTACTAATACACTTAAATTCACAAAAAAACTGCACAAAAGTCTTTTTTGCCAGGACACTAGTTGTAACAAAGTCTTTGTATACTTTTTTTACGATTGACTAAATGAATTACAAAACCTGCTTCGGTAAAAGAGCTTTTCTTAAATCAGTGTTTAAGTTAACTATTTGTTAATATTAATTTTTATTTTTAACTTAAAATGCGATTATTTCTAAGAAATATATGTATTTTTTACTTACAGTGAAGCCTGGGAACATTCCAAATCTATTTTAAAAATGATCAAACATCTGTGAATAGTCAAGAAAGACCATGGCGCTTATATTCTAAGTATAAAACTTGAAGATGTGAATAATTAAAAGTCAAAGGGTTTCGACAGTTTGTTAATCTACCTCCATTGATCATCGAATTTACTGTTGAACTCATCAATGTCTTGATATGATCATGTACTTTTTAGACATCATTACTAATCTTGTTGATTGTCCATAAACAAGAATAAATGAAAGAAAATTTAAATGCAACAAAAAATCAGTATTGTTACTACGAACTTAGAAAAATTTGCTTTACTTACTTAGATAAAGTATGCACGTTTTTTATCTGATTAGTTAAAAAATAAAAAAACCAGAGGTCAGTGGATGCTTGGGTACCCTAATATGAAGTTATACTTCTATAACAGACAATATAAAATGGAAATATAGTTTCCATGATACGATATTTATAATAACCCACTGCAATGTATCAAAGGTGATGCAATTACCTTTTGAATAAGGATATTCGGTAATTGGGTTTAATAAATATTTTAATATTTAATNTAAATGATTTACTACTTTGTATTTATACTGGTGATCCAACAGTTTAAAAATTGTATAAAATAGTACGAATTGTAAATTTTTTAACGGCGTATTTCTCAGAATTTTCTTAGTCACTAGGACAACTGTTTTTGTGTATATTCAAAAAGACCCATTGTAACCTTTGTTGAAATTTTAAACTTGCAACTTTATTATTTTAATATTTAATAAATCAACAAATACGAAAACTATATAATTTAGATTTTTTTTTAAAACTCAGTGTGAAGCCGTAGCAAGACGTGCTGCTAGGCTAGCTAGTGCAAGACTGTGCATTTTTATCGAATCTTCCGATGATTGCAAAACAACTTACTACCAGCTACACTTATTTCATCCCCAACGTTACACTCGTACCTGTTACGTAGGATCACAAACTCACTCTTAGTCGCATATTTAATACTCATTATACATACATAAATGTATATAAAAAGCTAAGAAAAACTTTCCTATCGTACTGCTTCATTTTGTACAGGATAGTATTGCATGCTAATGGACGTAGCTTAACTCAAAAAATCTCTGTAATAATAAGTACAAAAATTATGAAGCGTTATACGCAATGAAAATTTAATAATCTATCCTTAGAACATCATATAAATAAAAAAAATGGATAGAGAAAAGATGGATGTACGTAACTTCAAAAAAATTTTTAAGTCAAATAATCTTGAAACTCTTTTTTTATAATAATAGAAATATGGATTAACTTATAATAAAAATCTGTCTACTCAAGATTTTTCAGACTGAAGCAGTATCGCATTATACTAACAAATCATGACACTAAACTTTTAACAATATTACAACTTTACAAGTCCGCGATTAACTAACTGGAAAAGTCACTTTCAACTGTACTTATGTCACTTGATATTGAATCATTTTTGGGTCTACAACTAGAATCCAGTTTTTTTTCAAGGACTCTAAACGTAAAGTGTATTAACATCTCTTGCAACAAGGTGCAGTATAAAAAAGTTTTAAAAATACCAATTTTTTACATATCAACAAATTCTTGTATACAGATCGCTTAGAATGTTGAAAAATTGAAGATTTATCTTGCTGTGATTTTTAGCAAATAACTTTCTATCCATCATCATATTAAAATAGTAAATATTTTAATTACTATGGTCATCTTGATATCTTTGTCTTTTTAAAGTCTTAGCTCGATTACTACATATCACTTATCGTTGCCATTTCGATATTTAATGTATTTATATAGGCTCACCTAAGCCGACCGGAATAATAAAAATTCGCCCTACATTTGTTATATAAGAAGCTTATGACAACAAAAGTTCATCTCTGACATTGTGGAACTTTACTTTTCTTGTACTGGCTTATCGAACGGTCTCAAAAATATAGTATATTACGTACGAGTTTACAAAGGCTTCGATGTAGGATCTGAGAGGTTTACGGCACGAGCCGAAGGCGAGGGCCGTGACGAGGTTCGTTAAGAAGCCTTTTCAAACGAGTTTCGTATACTGTTTTTTCACCTGAGAATCCAAAGTCAAGCGGCGAAGGTGCTATTTTGAGGTTAGAAGGTGGAAAAAGATTTTACTTAAAACAGAAGCTCACGAATACTGAAGGTAAATATATACATACAGCATGAATTTAACGTACAATCTTAGTGGGAGCTTTAAATTTTAAAAAATTATTTGTCGTCACTATCTACTTTTATACCAAGTTTGAGGCCGATAAACACTTTTGTAATTTTTTAACGATGAAATCACCTATGCATATAAATGTTAGTGTTGGGATTGGGGAACAAAAGACACTTTAACTCTCTTTTAAAAAAGCGTGTGGTAACGAATATGTGGAGTTAATTTTGACGCAGTAAGGCTGGGTGCTCGTACGCACTAATTTTATTATATTTATCTTAAAAACATGAAACTTTATGATTTCATGTGTAGGGTAGTCATTTTATTTATAATTAGAAGTATTAAAGACTAGTGGCCCCCTCGACTCGGCTTCGCCCGAGACTCACGGAATGGAACACAGTAGTGTGTTAAGATGTAATGTAGAACGTTTTCAATTAAAAATTTTACATGTATTCTTGACATTTCTCATGAAAAAAAACCTTTTTATTAAAATCATTTTTTTTCGGGATCCATGCAGTTTATATGGTCAAATAATAAGATGTAAAAATGAAAAAAAATATAATGATGCTGAAAAGTACCGTGCGTTTCTTACACCCTAAATTAATTGGTGGTCCTAAAGGGCCCCTGATTTGCACTTTCTTAAGTTATAATAAATGAGATGGGCTATTTGTTAAAACTGTGAAGATTTAAAACTGACAAAAACTATATGATTGAATAATTATTTTTTCTTATCTTAAAACATTATTACCAGATCAACAAAGTCCTATAGCCTAGTCTCTTCATTTTTTATTGCCAAAATGAATACAAATACATATTACTTGAGCTATTTGAAAATCTAAAAGATTTAAGTGATTACTGTTGGAGTTATAATGGAAACCTGATCTCTCACTTAATGGATTCCTTATTTGTTGATTTTAATGCTGATGTTTTAATCTCGATAAATGTTCCGCGTCAGTTTCTTGACGCCTAAAAGTGTATACATTTAAAGCATTGAGAGTTCTTCTTTTAATTCGCTCTCTTGCTACTGTTTTTTGTCAATTTTGTTAAGTACTAATATATTTGTAGGCAAGGCAGTTCGACGTTCGATTGCCCTAAAAACGACCGGTAAGCTTAACTCTTTCTTGACTAAAGTTTTCAGCAAACGTGATTGCTTGGATACCTCAGGGTGATCTTTTCTGGCCTGCTTTTGTAGCTTCAGACAGATCGGGAACAAAAATATAACGTCTGAAGCGTTGGAGCTAGTTGTAAAGCTCTATTCCAACTAATTGATACGTAAAGATGAAAGTTGATGTCTAAAGCACCTTTTTTTGCAGAGCTTAGTCGTATTGGTTATCTAAGGTGGGAAGATTGGTTCGTGATGCTTACCTGTTAGAGACTGTCTATATATACACACATACTCGCATATGGCTATATATATATGCAGCTGCTCTGTTGCCAAATATTTGAGATATTTATGTATGCAGCAGACAAGTTACATGACAATTGCTAAATGATTTACTACTTTGTATTTATACTGGTGATCCAACAGTTTAAAAATTGTATAAAATAGTACGAATTGTAAATTTTTTTTTACGGATATTTCTCATGATTTTTATAATTACTTAAGGAGGCTTGGGCGTTTGGTGTCGTATCTATTGAGGGGCCCCTGTGGGGTACTTGTCATACAAATGATTCTTTGTAATATTTTTTTTATAATCATTTTGATTATACACATGTGTGAACAAAATAGCAATAATACGCGGAAAAGTCATTGGGAAAATCGATATTAAAAAATTTATTAGTTTTCCCGAGGTACCTTGTGTAAAGATGACGGCCCTGCCACGATAAAGCTGACAACACTGTACTCTCTTGCTCTCATCTGCTATTATATACCTATACTTGTGTTAGACTTAAATTTTCATGCTTGTATGTTTATGAATGTACAGCGCATGCGCACTTACAGTACCTGAACAAAACAATTCTCATGTTCGATGTTTTCCTCGCTATTTTCTCAAAATTTAACGTGTTGATCCTATTCATTTTTTTAAATAATAGATTCTTTATACTTTCAAGTACATGTACCAATTTAATGTGTGGGCCCACAGCTTTTTATTGCGGTACGGTAGTCTATTGAATTTCGGGTTCCGTAAGGTTGCGTGTTAAAATGACGAATTTTCACAAGCGATTTTCTCGAAAATAAATGTGTTGACCGACCTATTTTGTTTTCCTAAAAAAATCTAGCAAACTTTATCTATATAATCTCTGAATTTCACATCTAGCCAGCATTTAATTCAAAATCGCCCAAGCCTCCTTAAGTAGCTCTTTTTGCCTGTATTCGAAAAGTCTCATTGTAACCTGTGATAAAATTTTAAACTTGCAACTTTATTATTTCAAAAATCAATGTGGTAGGAATATTTTTTTATAATTTACTCTGAAAAAGAAAAATTTAATCCATAACATACATTTTTTCAAGGAAACCGAAGTTAAAAAGTGGTGGGTGATAGACAACCTTAACGTCAAAAAATTTGATGATAAACTGAGCCATGACTTATATAAGTTAAAGGTACTTTTTTTACGCTTTGACACGGCATATTTATACGGTATTTTTCTTTTGTCTAGAGGATTCGTAACGTTCTATATTAATTATGCAATACTGCATCATTGTCCTAATAATTTTCAATAACTTCACTATTACTAACCCCGTAAGACTTTCGTGCCTTTTTTTTACCACTGCGTGAAAACTGATCCTATGTCTGCATGCTAGTTTTTCCTTCTAAAGTCTTACAGTGATTTTTTTTTCTCTCACGAGTGTCTATTGTCCAATGTCTAGTTGTCGTATTCAAATTTCGAGCAACTTGTATCATTACTTATAGACCGGAAGCCCGCGACAAAAATTTTTGTCAAATCTTATTCACCAAAATACGTTATACATTTTATAAAGTACGTTATTCTGATGTTGGAAACCCATTTCTTACACTTAAACTATGGGACAACTGCGATAGCTGTTGCGGGGGAGAATACAAAAAAAATAGCTGACATGTCAAATCTTATTCATTATGAAACTGATTTTGTAGTTAATTTTTAGTAATTTAATTATGAAAATACATTTCTTACACCTGACAAGCGGGGAAAAGTTGTTCTTACAGAGTGCAAATCATGTGATATTTTTCGAGGGTGGTGTCAAATTTTATTCACTTAATTATTTATGTGAGAGGGAAGTTTGAACCATAAATAATTAGAAAAAAAAGTTTTTACAACTTGAA